AGCCAATCGGAGAATCCTATACAAGCCTATTTGAAAAGTTAAAACACTCCGGCCTGATTGAGTCGCTCCTCGGCTATACTCCAAACCGATATGCAAAAGGTTTTGATCCTACTGTACAGTGCATGTACCACTCCATTGTCCAAGGGCATAGCATTGAAGATTGTCATGCTTTGAAAAGGGAAATAGAAAGAATGATTCAAGAAGGGATAGTTGTGATCCAGAACAGTGACACCCAGCATATCGCGCATAATCCTTTACTTGCACATGATGATGCAAAGTTTGTGGGATGTTGTGTGGTGACAGGGAGCATGAGAATTCTCTTGGGAACTTGCTGACTTGACTGATGTTAATAATATTGAAATTGGTAACATTGATGTGGAACTCAATGGCTAAGATGCCAAGCTTGGTAATTGGAAAGATGCTCCTTTCTTGGCTAGCCAGGGAGGATTCTTGGTGGTTCATTTTGTTGTCATTTCTGTTGTCCGGGTTATTTCAGGTTTGTAATCCGGATATTGTCTTGTGACTCAAAATCCTCTATCCTTTTATTTTGCTTAGTTTGTTTAGTCGTAGTATCTCGTTTAGTGTTGTTTAGGTTTATTCCAGGGTTGTAAACCCAGTTTAGTTTGCTTGTTTTGTTGTTCGAACCGTTTCACCGTCTGTCTAATGCAATTTTCTGTCTTCTGTTATTTCCAGTCATTTTTTTTAGTGCTCTTCTCCTTTTTTATAGTTCTTTTCATGCTGGCTCTAGTGACATGACATGCACGCATAATTCTATGCCTGGTCTTAAAAGTTAGTTTAATCATGAAGCAATGAAACAATTTTGAAGATGATAGGGACACCTGAGGGAAATAAGTACAGATTTGGACATTTTGAGATCATTTGAAGCCCGAACTATGTGAAACTGGGGCAAATAGTTTGGAAAGTTAATGGGACGACAAGAATTTGTTACAAGAGAGTGCGTCCAACAATTTGAAGCGAGCAGTTTCGAGTTCAAGTGCACCTCAAGTAACAAGATAAAGCCTAGTGAGTTTGCTGTGAACTGACGGAGGGTATCCATTGTGAGGAAGAAATTACCCAATGAAAGTTCTATACTTGACAAGGCACTAAAAAAAGTGGAAAGCATATCAGTGATATCAATGTCAAAGTTGTAAAAGAGATGTTGTGTGCGCTCTTCCTTTTTCATTTCAAGTTGCATGTGTTGTACTTGGCATTTTCAGGGATTGGGAGGCCTTCTTTCAGCTACCCAAACACTTATACCATTCGAATACCCTTTTGAGCCTGTACTGATTTCTTTGACCTCCCCTCTTTTGGAATCAAGGTAGAGTCATACGAAGAAAAAAAAAAAGTTCATGTCCCCATAGGTTTATTTTAGAAAGTTCATTCCAAAAGGAAAATTCAAAAAAAAAGAGAGAAAAATAGAGATAAAGAAAACAAAGGGAAAAATAAAAAAATAAAAAAAGGAAAAAGAAAAAAAAAGAAAAAAGAAAAGGAATAGTAACAAAAAGTAGTCTTGTGAACTACGTTTGACCTGATTCTTGTCACCACAAGATACGTAGGCAGCCTTACGGTTCGGTCATACCAAATAAAATATTTTATAATCCCACGAAGTCGAGAGTGGGAAATTCCAAAAACAAAAAAAGAGAGGGAAAAATAGATTCAAATTCCCCTGTTTTAGAAATTGGGGCAAAGTTTTTAGAATGGATTCCAAAAGTTGTAAATAAATTAACCTCGTTGTCATAGTTACTTTTAGCCTTTATGATATCCTTTCTTTCTAATCCTGTCCAAAAGCCACATTTCAGTCCAAAAAAGACCTCCCGGATAATCTTTGAGAGTGCTGAGTTTAGGCATGCCAAGGGTATATGATGTTTTTACCATGGTTAATGCCTTGTCATCTGCAGAATCCGAGGAAATAAGAAGAAAAGAACAAAATGAGAGAGTCTTATTGGTGAAAACCTTCACAGGCACCATAAGGCGATGGTGAGTTGAGAAAAAGAACAAAACGAGAGAGGCTTGATGGTGAAAACCCTTCGGGAACTACAAGTCGAATAAGGACTGTGAATCAAATTGGATAATCGGAGCACTGAAGCCCAGTTTCACGGTTTAGGGGTACAACAAGAGTTGAACATCAGACTTGCTTGACTGATTAGGCCACTTAATCCAAAGGTGCATGTCATGGTCATTAGGGTTGGTATCCACATCTGATAAGTTTCTACTTTGTAGTTTTCTTGTTAGGAATCATCTCTTTCCATTGTCCTTTACTCTGTTCCTTTTGTCCTGTTTACTTCCTCTTCCTGAGTCTGTTTGGTCAAAACAAGTGAGAAATGACTTCAAAATTTGCCACCAACTTTCCAATTGCACAAAACGGGATCTGGCTAGCACATCAAAGTGGCATAAGTCAGGAAAGAACAGCATGCGCACTGAGTTGGTAACAATCTACATGCTTTGGGATTCATGTGAAATACAAAGGTTTGGTTATGTCAATTCATGAACAATGCAACAGATAGAGGATGTTGGGTGAATGGATCAAAGGTATTTTATGTGATAAGGTTGACAGAGAAGGTGGTTAACCAATGACAAGCAAGGCCTTCCAAGCGGAAATCAAAGTTATCATGGCAAGTGAAGGAGCAATAGACCTCAAGGCCAAGGCTAGTGGGTTAAGTTAGGAAAGAACAACAGGCACACTGAGTGGGTGGCAATTTACGTGCTTTGGGATTCATGTGAAACAAAAAGGTTCAGTATATGTCAATGCATGAGCACAATGCAACAGATGAATGGTATTGCGTTTGAACGGATCAGAGGTATTCTCCGTGATAAGGGTGATAGAGAAAGTGGTCAGTCAATAAACATGCAAGGTCTTTCGAGTTGAAATCGAAGTTATCATGGGAAGTGAAGGAGCAATCGCCCTCAAAGTCAAGGCCACAAACCGACTGTGAGCACGTGATTTTTGCCCTATATGAATTACTCCCACAAATTCAAAACAAAATAATTTTTTCCATTTGTTTACAATTTCGTGGATTTTCGTAGCATTTTGTTATTGTTTGCATTTGTCTGTGCATGTTTATTTTATTTAATTCATGAAAAATACAAAAAATATGTTGCATTTGCATTTAGGACTTAATTTTACATTTGTTAGACTAATTAGCAAATTTGTTTTTTTATAAAAATGAAAAATCACAAAAAATAGTTTATTTTTGCACTTTTTAATTTTAATTTTGAACTTTGGTAGTTTTTCCTTTAATTTGGTTTTAATTAATTATGGTAATTATTAGTTAGAGTTAATTAATTCAATGTGGTAGGGTTAATTTGATTTAGAAATTAGTTTAGGTTTTATTTTAGTTTTTATTTGAAAAGAAATTAAAAAAGAGTTTGAAAATAAAAAGAATTAATTTGAAAAAGAATGAAAAGAAAAAGAATGAAGAAACAGATTTTGGGCCAAATCAGGTGCACTTCTCCAGCCCAATTTAATTTCACCAGTACCCGCTTAACACAGCCCACGACCCATACCCCAACCCGGTCCGTCTCCACACTTAACCAAACGACATCGTTTGAGCCCTCCCCATCTCAACCGTTGGATCAACAAGATCCAACGGACCGGAACTGATTCCCCCCTATATATAACTGTCCTAAATGAGCCTA